CATGCACACCTCCTACACATAGTGTAGGACTCTACACTGCCAGGGGCTGCCTTCCCCTGCACCCAAGAGCACAGAAGGCATCTGCGTGGGCACCCGTGCCAAGGATGGAAGGAGTGCATCCTGTGGGAATAATTTCCCATGGGAGCATGTGTGGGCTGCTCCCTGGCAAGGTTTCTGGTTGGCTAGAAGGAATACAGTATATTTGTTCCCCAGCTGTGGCAGGAGTGTGGGAGACAGCAGAGCTTGTTTAGAGTCCTTAGAAATGCCAAGGACAAGATAGGAGGAGCAGGGAGGATGGGAGAGAGAGTGGGAGACCTAAATTTCTCTGGATGATCTCCCTGATAGCTATGCCTGCACATAGCCAGTGTGCTCCTCTTGTGCAAAGCTGCCTTTATAAGAGGAGAGTGTTGGCTCTCCAAGTAGAACACACATACAGCCATTTCAGAGTGCTGCTCCAGCAAAGTGCAGCCACCAGACAGGAGTGCAAGCATGGCTATTTCCAAGATCACTGCTGCTGGAGACAGTGCTGCAGGCCCTACTGCTGCAGCTGGGCACTGGAAAAGCAGCATGAGGGCAGAGGGGGAAAACAGGACAAGCCAAGAGTGTGGCTGCAGCTGCCTCAGCAGTTGCTAGGCTCAACAGGGCAGCAAGAGGAGGAGGAGGAGGAGACAACGATGAAGACGACGACGAAGCTGCAGCAGCAGCTTGGAGTATCTGTGGTTGCAGCTGCTCTTGCTGCCCAACTCAATGGCAGAAATGGGAGTTTACAGAAAAACATTGTAACTGAATTCACACATAACCACAAGCAATGCTAAAACATGGAAACCTTAGAACAGGCCATGGATTCTCTGCGGGGATTTAAGGTAACCAAACATGCCAAGCTTCACCATGCTTAGTTAATTCACTCACAGCAACAAGCCATTCCCACTGTGGCTTTTTATTATGTGTGAACATGGCCAGAGAGTCATTCTTTTTCTAGAAGAAGTTATGGGAGGTCCCGATTGACATAAGGGTTATGTGGGATCTAACTCCTTCACCCATGCTATGGTCCAAAATGCATATCCTGGAGAGGAAGATACAAGTACATGGACATTTGGATCAGAGTTGTGATTATATTGTTTCACTGATGCTGCCATCTTCATCCAAATGTGGATCCTTTAATATTTTAGAAAAAAATATCTAGTAAAAGATGTCTGGGTTGACTATTTTGAGGAAGAAAGATTTTAGGGTGAAATACTCAAAATAGTGGTGTATGCGCGTTTATAAGCCTATATAGGAAAAAGTATTGCATGCTTTATTAAAACTAGAAAAAAATAGGCAGACATGGATTTGGGCAGAAAGGAGACTGTGAAGTCCATAACTGAAGGCAAACTACTTCTCACAAATTAGTGGCAGACATATTTCCATGTGTTCCATTTTGCATCATAATGCCAGTAATATGTATGAAGAACAAACACATATCTGAACTAAAGAAGCAAACTTATGCATGTTTAGACAGAAAAAAGTACTACAATTCCTAGTGTGTGCTGGTTGTGGTCCCCGAGACATATCTACCTTGTGTTTACAAGTGCCATTCAAACTTTGTTTGCCTCAAACCATTATAGGAACACACAGACCGGCTTTGCACAACACATTAAACTGTGGTGGTTAATAAACACCAGTGGTTTAGCATGCTATCTGCTAAAGTTAGCAGAAAGTCATGCTGCTCTAGTCAAGGAGTTAGCAGGTAACTGCCTTTCAGCAGCCCAAAGTACTGAAGCAGCATCTGACATCTGGTGAAGGCTTGTCCCCTCCCTGCTAGCATAGCAGTGGGGAGTGTCACTTTAAAACATGGAGAAACCCCCTTTTGGGGGAAGATTTGTCCTTTACATTATAAGCTTTTTCATGCCCCTACTGGGGTTTACCTTGGGTTTTTCCACTTCCTGAGGTGTTATCTACTCATGGTTAATTGCAAAACCGAGGGGACACTTGTAGCTTTTTAGCATCCCTCCCCAAGCCCTGGTGATTCTGCTTGGAAAGGCAAAGAATTGAGGAAGAGTTCCCAAAACACCATTTCACAGTTTCTTGGTCTTTTCTAGGGAAGACCTTGTGCCTCTGAGTTCTCCACATTTGGGGAAGTTGGGGCAGCCCAGCATCACACAAATACCCTCCAAAGATGTTAAAGATTCTGCTGGAAAAATTGCTTTCCACACCCCCATTTAAAAAATAGTGAAAAGTTAGCAGTGGCCTACAAAACTGCAATTTGGCATTTAAAGCTTGGGTTCATAGAAAGCACCTTTTGCAGCAGGGGTTCATGTGGCCCTAGACCAGTGGTTTTCAACTGCTGGTCCACTGGCATTACCTGAAAGAGCCACACTGGGCCAGCTGTGCTCTCACTGCCAATTCCCCATGCCTTCCTTGGCTGGGGAGGGGAGAGACAGCTCAATAGGAACCAGCTGGGAGCTGGGTCTGGCCTCTGGGTGGAGCCTCCAAGACTGGCCCTTTTTCTTTTTCTGCTGTGTTTTTCTGCTTTTTCTGCTGTGGGAAGGGAAATGCTGAGGTGGATGTGCCGGGAGTGTTTTCTCAGCCCATCTGTGCTGGTGCGTATAGGGATTGGGGGGGGGGGGGGTTAATTGTATTTTATTATTTAACATTATGAATATTATTGTTAAGTAACTTTGATTTTGTGTTGCTCTGCTGTTAATATTATATTTGAATTTGAATCTGTTACGAGCGTAGTATTGCATTTATATTGATTTTGTATTTTGCTATTGTAAATTTTTGTTCACGTATTCTTAAAAAGCAGCAGCAGAAGGTTTCACAGCAGCTTTATTTTAATTACATACTTGCTCTCTAAAATGTCAGTTGTATTTGATTACATTTGATTTCAATAATTTCTTTTATTAGCATTTTACTGCTCAGTTTCTGGTTATTTTAGAGAATTTTCATTTTTTGCTACTGTATTTAAAAATACTAAATACTCTATTATGAATATAATGCTTTTTATTTCTGCCTTAACAGGCCCCAAAAGAATTTTCCTATTTTTGCTGGTTCCCAACTGTAAAAAGGTTGAAAACCACTGCCCTAGACTATCCTCACTTTCCCAAGTATAAATAACTCAGGGACACTTTTCTTAGAAGTTAAGCTATGGCCAAAACTTGCTCACGAGAGGTCGTTGAGGCCCCATCGGTGCAGGTGTTCAAGGATAGGCTGGACGTCCACATGGTGGGCATGTCGTGAGCGTAGCCGGCTGGTGCCGGAGGTCAGACTAGATGGCCTGGGAGACCCCTTTTGACTCGCTCTGTTTTCTATGTTTCTATGTTTCAATGTGGCTGCAGTGTCCTCTGGGATAATGCAGGAGAACTAAAGTTGAGAGGAGCTGTGGGGAGGAAGGAGGCAGACAATCCTGCCTTGGCCTGTTCCTCTGTGAGACCCAGGAGAATTTATCCACACTGGTTGCTTAAAATTCCCAAGGAGTTTAATGTGCTGTGCAAGCCCTGCTATTCTCGGGTAAAATTCAAAGCTTTCTATGGATTCTTTTCTTTAAACAAAAGAGAGGTGTGACTGTTAACATTCAATTTGAAGAGGTTGGGCTCAACCCAGTTCATGCGGCTTAAACTTCACTGTAGAACTAGATTATAACTAAGGTGTTAGGTATTGACTACACAGGCTAAATGAGATATTTTATGCAACAAAGAGAAAACAGTCTATTTGTATAGCTATGTCCTTAGACTTTGTGCTTACAGTACATGTAAGCTGTCATGGCCCATTCCTTTTCACAACCTACACATGTGGGTCAGTATCAAAACACCTGATAAGGAGAAAAAGCCTCTAAGTCAGAATATGGCCTAATTTTTCATTTGCAAGCTTGGAGACAAAACGTTTTAAATTTTTATTCTTTGTACAATACCTTGGTATTTTTTAGTATGATGACGAACTCTGAATACTGGCCTACATAGTTCATTTTTTCTAGTGTTTGGATATCTGCCTGTATTGTGATACATATATTTAGCCACATTTTCTCTTATGCAAATATTTCATCTTCAATCTTTCAATACATAATTATGTATGGAAAGCAATGGTTTTATCTGTTAGTAAGTGTTGCAGTGGGGGGAGCATGTGGAAATGAATGTGGGAGGTTGTTATGGAACTCATCTGGAATAAGCAAAGGGAAATCTTGTGTCCCACACTTGTCTTGGCTTCATGTGTAGGTTGATGAAAAGTCCAAATTGCCTGTGACCTGCAGCTAGCACAGCTAGCTAGGGCATGCTGGGCTTCTAGGCTTTTTCTCTCTCTAAACATACATAGGGTTGCATCCTAAGATTGCTGTAACAGTGAAAGGGATAAATAATTGTTAGCAATGTATTAGGAAAGGAACTTGTTTTCAATTGCTCTAAACAAAGTGGCAGTAACAACAGAATTACCTTGTGGCACCTATGACTAACAAATTGATAATGGCATTGATTCGCCATGAAAACTTATCCATAACACAATTGCTAAGGTACCAGAAGACTCTTCAATGCTTTTGTAGCAAAAGACTAAGGTTACCCTTCCGAAGACGGTTAGGGTTCAGCAACAGTCTTCTTAACGTGTGCGCAATTTAAGAGTTGCTTGCCTTCCAAGCATATCCGCGGGTGCAAGACAGACCCGCCTCGCTTGTTGTATCCGTGCCTGATTGAGCTCAGGCTGTAGCGGCGGCGCAATTTTCTCTTGCTCATAGCTCTTGTTCATTGCTTCCCCGCTTGCTGTGGTTGCGGGGGAGGCCGGCAGCTGTGGCGATGTGAACCCCACCCTTCCCTTCTCCCTCTCCCAGCCTTCCGTGGCCTGGCTGCTAGATTCTTTCCAGGCCTCCCATAGAAGTCGCGCTGTATCGCGTGGTTGCTAGGCTCCGTGACGCGGGCGACTCGCGACCAGCAATTGGTTGCAGGTGGAGGCCCCGGTTTCCCCTGTGGGAGTCGCAGAGGGGCGGAGCGGAACCGGCGCGGCCGCTGGAGCATGCGTGCTGCGAAGCGAGCGTCTTGTCCGGCCACGTCTGCCGGGTCCTGCTGCAGCTCTGCGCTAAGCCTAGCTGGAGCAGCGGTGGGGGTTGTCAGCCGAGAACCATGGGCCGAGACTCGTGTCCCTCGGCGGGGCTGCGCTGGTCGCCGCTGCTCTCGCTTTTGCTTCTCATGCCGTCCGGCCTTGCATGGGACAGCGGAGACTTGGAGCTCTTCGACTTAGTGGAGGAAGTCTCGCAAAACTTCTACGTGTTCCTGGGAGTTGAGCAGGTGAGGAAAGAGGCGCGCATGACTCGGCACACTAGGCAAACTGGCCTGCCGCCTTTTGTTTCTCCTGCTTTTCAAGTTGGGCCCCGGAACCTGTTAGAAATCTCTGCCCTCAGTTTTGGAGCATATGGAACGACTGTAGCCTAAGGCGAGAGGGTTTCTGTACATATGCAGATTGACTTAAAGGACCTTTTCTGGCCCTCAAATCTGGGATTATAATGCAGTCTTCCCACCCCTGTGGGTGATGATAGGGCTTTTTAGTTAGTTAGTTTTAAAAAGTAAACGGTGCTAAGTTTTCCACGTCTTCCTTTAGCTCATTTGCTTGGCCCACATCCCAGCTTCTGCCTGTGGTTGGTGATCCACATCATCGTCGCCTTTGCCTACCTGCACTTTTCACAGTATATGTTTCCTCCGGCTATAAACTGGATACTGAGAACAGTACCGTTTTTCCCACGTGATTTTCTAGTCCTGTTCCGTAAACTATTATTTTACTTTACTTCTGGATCCTGTGCCTCTTTAGAAACCAAATTTCCCATGTAGTCTTCCATTCCAATATCTTTCTGCTAGGGGGTAAAATGTCACGATCCCCATCTGTCCTTACTTTGTCATTTCCTTGCTGGAACGTAGTTCCCCTTTTTGTGCAAATCCAGGCCTCAACGTCACTACGACCTCCTCCTGACTCCTTTCCTCCCATCCTTAATAGTTGCCTTTTTAGTGGAGATGTGTGTGTCCTTTTGTGGAAAATGCCACAATCAGCATACTGGTTTTGATGCCTTTTCATCCTAACTTTTCAGAGGATTGCCCACTCCCATATGGATATGTCCATTGCTTGAACTCACCTTTGGAAGCTTGCCATTAGATGTCCCAAGTATTTTGAAAAGGTTGGCAAGCGGCAACTTGGAATAGAGCTTTCCTATGAAGACAGGGTACTAGGCTAAAACAGTTTTATTCATCCTAGCTTTTAATGAACAAGGAAATGCTATGCTGCTGCTGCTCTGTGTTGGAGATCTTATTGACATTTCTTTTTGTTTTTTATTTGCCATTTTTCACTTTCTTAGTAAGCTAACTTGTTAATTCTGTAATTTGAAAGCTCAAAATGCATGTTATATTTATTTATTTAATTCAATATCTAGGCCTCCCCATAACCTAGAGGTTCTCCTGGTGGCTTACAATACTAGGAACATAAAAACATATATAAATTACAACAAAACAAATATTAATCAGATAAAAGATAAGACAAAATAATAGAGCACCTCAAATAAAATATACTTTCACGCACCAGCAACACAACCAACAAATTAACTAAAATTAAATTAAGATTTAAAAAATCCATAACAAGATATACAAGTCTTAAAGAATAGACATGTGTTCTTGCTTGAAGGTGTGAGCAGCTGCTGGTAAAACTGAATATTAAAGTATTAAGAAATAGTCCCTAACTAAATAGTATTGTGGAAGTTCCAGGGCAGAATTAAATTCATTTTTTTTTTTAAAGTGATATAGAATGGCACTCAGTAGAGTCAGCCACTGTATAGATCAGGTTAGTCCTGATCTCCAAGAATTTCAATTTGTCATTAGCTACCTTTGTTCCATGCTTAAATTTTGGAATACCACTATCAGTTAGAAATTTGCACATCTGAGAATTGACCATAAAACAACCCCAAAAGTTAACTTAGGCCTAAAAATAATTTAAAGTAAAATAGATAAATATATGCTGGTAGAATCAACTCTTATTTTTGCAAAGTAGGTCCTACGGAATGCAATGATATAAACTTAACTGGAGAAAGATTATTATTATTTTTAAATATGGTGGCCAGGATTTAAAAGACTGTACAGGAAACTTCTGGGATTTCTGAAGTTCCCTCCCCACCATTTTTTCTGTGTCAGCTTCCACATCACTCAAACTGCCCCTTAAGAAATTCTAGGGATACTGCTTTCATAGTATTTGCTCCATTCCTTTAGAACTCCCCAGGGACATGTATGGTATCATCACTGGGTTTAAGAAAAATAAAAATATCTGAAAACACATTGATTTTAGCCTGGGTTGATTGAATTATGATGTACTTGAAAGAAACTTCAGTTCTTGCTGTCTTTTAAAGAAATAATAAATGTGGCAATGGTTTAAATGTTGAAATTATAATTGTATTTTTGCACCATGTAACCTGTCTTGTTGGGATGCAGGTGGCACAGTGGTTTAAACTTCTGTGCTGCTGGGCTGGTTGATTGAAAGGTCACTGGTTCTAATCTGCACAACGGGGTGAGTTCCGTTGCTCTGTTCCAGCTCCTGCCAACCTTGCAGTTTGAAAGCATGCAAATGCAAGTAGATAAAAAGGTACCACTTTGGTGGGAAGGTAACAGCATTCAGTCAGTGTTTAGTCATGCCAGCCACATGACCACGGAGACTGTCTGCAGGCAAGCGCTGGCTCCCTCTGCTAGGAAATGGAGATGAGCACCGCCCCCTAGAGTCAGGCATGACTGGACTTAACGTCAAGGGGAAACCGTTACCTTTACCTTTTAACCTGTCTTGTAGGTCAGTTTATCCTGAAGGTCAGTTTAAAATTATTTTTGTAGCAATAACAATAATAATGCATTCTCTAGCAGCATATGAGCTGAATTTTCTCAGGGAATAGAATGAATTTTAGGAGCGAACATGTTCTTTCTGGCATGGAGGAGTATGTATCAGATGAACAGTATACAGATTTAGGCTTCTAAAGCAGGCCTAATGGAAGCTGATTTCCACAGCCCCTCCAGCTCCCCTGAAAATACTACAGAGAGGTCAAGGGGCTTTGCTGAATGGGGTGAGCTACTATTTAGGGGAGGGGATTCCTAGAGATAAGGCAGAGGAACCCTGCATAAAGTGGAGACCCTCCATCATAGCTTGAATCCAGCCTGTGATATCTCTTCCCTCCTAGTTAAGAGGAATATTTTCTCACTATGAATGATCCTTGTTACCATTAAGAACAAGAAGTTAAGAATGGCTCAATATATTTGCAGACCAACATTTGATCAAATCTCTCTCCCCTTTAAATTCTTACAGTTCAAATACTAGTTTAAGATTATGCTTTTTTTAAAACTGGAAATCAATACAAGTCAATCATTCATTTGAAATTTGATGTTTAAGTTTCCAAAAGAATGCACATTTTAGCTCAATTTCAGTCCCCTCTTCCTCTGAGAGAAGCACTTTGCACCTGACATAAAACAATTGCAGGTGATGGAACTACCAATCCTAGAATCTTCTGCCTCTTCTCCAGTAGCTTTTCTCTTAAAGCTATAGCAATAGTGAGGCTACAAGCTGGGAGAGAGGAAGTGGGAAGTAGCAAAGTAGAAAGGTGAGGATTAGAACAAGACTAGAGATTAGAAAGAGAGAAGAAGACTCTGTGAACATTTTCTAAGTCTGTTCTTTAACATCTTTTTATTTTAAGGAGGCAGGGAGGGGAGAGTTTTATGGGTGTCACTAGAGGAACCCTAGTGGAGAAAGTAAAGGGGAAATATTTTCTCCTTGATAACAAAATTCTAGTGCTGTATTACTAGCACAGAACATGGGCAGCTGAGGTTGATAGGCATTACATTTCAACACTGGAGGGCACTAGGTTGAGAGGCACTGTATTAGAGCAACATAAGTAGTTGCTGAATACCACATGTTGACCTAAAGATGGGATATAAAATAATACATTCTCAAATGAAAGAAATGCAGAAGTACGTCGCACTTGATTACCACCATAGATCTTTACTGCTATCTGTGCTGATATTATAATGTGAAACTTTGTGTTAGAAATTATATAAGCTATAATTAATTTTTAAAATTATATTAATACTTTGTAAAGAATTACGATAATGGGAAGGCAATGGCTTATGGGTCTGGCTGAAAAGGCCTCTGTTTTAAAAAAGTAGGTAGTATTCAGAGGGTTCTACCCTTAAAAGTAGCTTTAATTGATTTTAACTAAAAATAAATGAATTATTGGTCAACTTTCACCAATGTCAGAATGCACTCACATGCCCAGAGACATTTTTCAGCATAAATTTAACATTGGACCTCTTTCTCCAAATAGGTCTCCTTAGCGCGTATTTAAGAGGATGAAAAAAAAGAGCATAAGAATTAATGCCTGTTAAGCGATGTGACTAATGTCAAGTTGCATTGTTTTTGAACCTATTTGTGCATTACGTATTTTTTGGCCCTTGAATAATAGCCAATGAAAATTAATGATTTTTATACAGAAAATGAGGTCTGACTATATAGTAAGGATAGAATTGTTCCTAAAAACATTTCTTCGTATCAGTACTAATTCAATAGAACATCTTGACTTGCTGTGGTTTCAGGTGCAACATATCTTGCTGCTGGCATGTGTATGCAAGATGACCAGTATGATAAGGGTCTTGACAGGGCACAGGGTGGTGGTTGAAAGAGTGACTCTATTTTTGTGCTTTGGGTAAATATAGATCAATTAGTTGTATGACATTGGGTTCTCTGATGCTACTCTCCAGAGAGTAATGTGCAGCAGCTATAGTAACTATAGCATTTTAGGATGAACCACTTGGAGGGTGGACTTGCTTGCTTGCTTGCTTGCTTATTTATTTATTTATTTATTTATTTATTTATTTATATCCTGCCTTTTTCCTACAAAGGGCTCAGGGCAGCTTACATCTCCTTCTCCACCTTATCCCCACAACAACAGCAACCCTGTGAGGTAGGTTGGGCTGAGAGTCTGTGACTGTGTATACATTTTTTTAAAGGAAAAAAGTTAAAACTCAGACTTAGTGCCTGCATTCCAGCTTAGTCAGAATGTTCTGGATCACTCTTAAGATCTCCTGGTCCTGTCTTTTAGACAAGTTAGTCCATTTCATGTGGAAAGTTTAAATTGTGCTAGAGGAGGGATAGGAAACTGGATGCCCTCAAACGGTTTTGAACTACAACACCCATAAGCCTCAGTCAGCATGATCGGTGGTCAGGAATTATTGGGACTGTTAGTCTACAATATCTGGAGAACACTACGTTGTATATCTCTGTC